GGGAGAAGATGACGTGCTGATCCAGTCAATACCCCAATTGCGTGAGTATATGTGTGCTTCTTTTCCCATTCTGGGACTTCACTAGTAGTATGGTTCCAGCTCTAACAGTAAAATTAAGCATGTGCTATATCACCGTTGCTTCTTAGCTGAATAGTCATGGTATACTATAACATTATTAACCGCCCTTATCTTGATTTGATGTCACGCCATCTATCTATGTTCCCTTTCTGTTTTTCTCTCTTGTTCTTTGTGGATTATATGCATTATGATTCTCTTATTAGCTATGATGTTGTACTCTTTTACCTTCTTTTGTGGCAACCCTAGATAACAGTGTTCTGGACTGTACAGTTAGATTTCACTTTCACCACTTTTTAATACACCTAGATCATAACGTCTACAGCTGAGCTTACCCTTTTTACTTTTGCGTTATTACTATTGGTGATTTGTATAAATATATTCGACTAAACATCAGATTCTTGTTCTGTAAACTCACTGTTCATATACCCTTACCACTGTTCTTCATTTCCTCTTGCATTTTCGTGTTTTGTTTCCTGGCATCATGTTCACTTCTATTGAAAATTTTTTTAGTTTTTCACTCGTGTACATGTCGGGCTTGCCTGGCCAGTACCACTCAGCTTTTGTCTGATACATCTTTATTCCGCATTCAGTTTTTAAGAATGTATTTATTCATCAGGTACAGAATTCTGGATGAACAGTAATTCTCTTACAGTATTATCAAGATTTCTTCTTGTCTTTGCTTGCACCATTTTTTTGTTGAGAACGCTGATCATTTACTGTCTCTCCATGAGGAGAGCGGTGGTTTCTTTGTTTTTTTTACATTCTGAGGTTATCTTATCATTGTGTCATGAGTTACCCAAAGGTTCCTATGGGCCTATGGGCACCTTGAGTGAGTTGTTTCTATTCTGCTTAGAGTCACAGAGCTTCTGAAATTTGTTGGCGATAATATCCTTCACCAGCCGTTTAGACAATGTAGCTTATCTTTTGAAAATTCTTCTGCTCATTTTGGTCCTTTCCCTTCCTCCTCCTCCAACCTTCTTCTTGTCATCTCTCACCTTCTACTGTCTCCTCTCTTCTAACATGTGTTACAACAGCCTTAACATAGTCTTAATGATTCAACTTTCCTATGTTCCATTTTTTGTCTTCTGCTTCAGTTTGGCCAGTTTTTAAATTATGTTTGCCAGTTGTTTATACTGCTTCCACTGGTCAAGTCACCTGTGACTATCTATTGTGTATCCTTAATCAGATATTTCTCCAGTGACATAATTGGTATTTTATCCATGGGAGATCTATTTATCTGCTGAGTTCTCTAAATTTTTACTATCTTAAACATATAATGACTTAATTTTAAAGTCCTTGTCCAGCTAACTCGAATTATCTGGATCTTCTTTATTTCATCTCGATTTCTGCTTGATTTGATGATGTCTTTTCTCGCTTCTTTCCATATCTAATAATTTTATTAACATATGGCAGACATTTATATAACATTCCAGAATGGTACCATAAGTATGATAGTGCAGACTGTATTGAGATGATTGTCTTCTTCAAACCTGTCAGGCAATGATGAGCATGGTTACAGTTTGAGTAAGATTAGGCTTCTCCTGCTCTTGTTCTGTTCCTGGGAGTGGCCCTTCTGGGCTTTGGCTGGAGAGCCAGATGCATCTGTTGCCTCAGCCGCTGAAGACTGAGGAGATCAGGTCTTGCTCGAGTCCCAGCCCAGCCATCTAGCCTCCTTCCCCACACAGCATCATAATGAAGCACAGTGTCCTACGGAGGAGTGTGACGTGTGCCTGCTAAGGCCTGTTCTCTATGGCACTTGTCCAAATACTCCCCAGGGTTCTGAGATCTTACTGGGCATGGTAGAATCACTGGAGCCAGCTTCCCGCTCAAAGCAGCCCTAGAATCCAGCTAATGCCCAGTGGAAAAAGTTGCTTTGCAATGTGAGGACCTCAATTCCAGTGTATTAATCTAGCCTTCTCGAAACCATTAAAAACTTTGCTGGTCTTCTGTCTTTCCTGGAAATGGTCATTTTGCTGGGTCAGTGAGGTGGACCCTCAGCCCAGGTTCACTCAATAACAAATGGCCCCAGGGAAAAATACAACTGACTCAGCTCAGATTGCTTTGCCTCATTCCCTACACGCCAGGATTCTTACTCATTCGACCCTAGTTGTTTCACAGCTGTATCTTATGCCTTAAATATATGATTTTAAAAAATTATGCAGATTGTATAGCTTTTATAGAAGCTTACTGCATGAACTACTTGACTACCAGGTAATTTTAATACCACTTATTTAAGATCTACAAACTGACAATTTGATAAAAATTAGGAAAATAATACAAAGTAGGATCAATATATGCCCTAATTATAAACACATACAACGCACCACTTTTCATGTGAAATGAGTGGCAAGCAATAAAATTTTCACCACTACACTATCAAATCTCCACACCATAATAATTAATATCATCAAGGTACAATAGTATATATGAATATTAGTGAGAGAGTGAGTTGGTACAGTCTCTTTGAAAACTATGCTGTTAACAGCTATGAAAAATGTAAATGGCCCAGCTGTGGTGGCTGAGACCTGTAATCCTACACTTTGGGAGGCTGAGGGGAGATGATCGCTTAAGGCCAGGAGTTTGAGACCAGTCTGAACAACATAGCATGACCGTGTTCCTACAAAAACTATGAAAATTAGCTGGGCGTGGTAGCGCACACCTCCAACCCCTCAGAACCCTCCACAGTACATGTTCCAGCTACAGGAGCCTCACCCACTCCTCAGAAGCCATCCATAGTACATGTTCCAGCTAGAGGAGTCTCTCCAACTCCTCAGAAACCCTCCATGGTACATGTTCCAGCTAGAGGAGCCTCACCCACTCCTCAGAAGCCCTCCATAGTACATGTTCCAACTACAAGAGCCT